AGAAGCCCTGTATAGAATGTGCGGCTAACACAGCTTATGGGGCATTATACAGTCAGAGGTTGTAAATGCATTAACGACCGACTGTGGCATCCACAGCAGAAAACCTAAGTGTTTGTAACTAATAGCAAACCTTAATGTTCTTATGCAGCTTAATTCAACTGCCCCTTATACCAGCATCCGAGAGCTTTTTGCTTCGAAAAGCATGTTTATCAATCCTCATTTCGCCTAAATTGTTGCCCAAATTCTACCTAAGGACAGTGGTGCATGTTCAAAGACTATAATATGTCTATAAATTAAAGCCGAATTCCGCGGGATTCATTTTAAAATTAAACTGGAAAAAGGCGAATATAAATTTCGGTGTAGATGTCATAGTTGACGGTTAGTAGAAAGATACTCGGACATGTGAGCATTTTTCAAGGGAGTACTGACCCACTACGTACCCTGTCAGTCGCTTGAGATAGGTTTTTTCAACGTTATCATTTGTACCTCGTAAGCGTGTGAAATATCTGTGCTGACAAAAAGTAGCTTGCTAGGCTGTAATGTCAGAGTGTTAATGTCAGATGTTATCTTAGTCTAACGTCTGGCGCATTTTAAAGGACTTTGAGAGATTAATCGATGAAAAGTTAGTTATTTAGTAATTACGCTAACAATGTTAACCTAGAGGAACGGAATCAATTTGCCTATGATTTCTGCTAGCGTAATCCACAAAACGTAAGGTGTTCTGCAAATCAAATTCACATTAGACAATAGTACAAGGAATAAGCGTGTGTATGGAGGTCATATGGTAGCAAAATGAGTATCAGCCAAAACAGGAAGTGTCGAATAACCAGGTATACAATGGTAGGTTGTATATGTGAAAAGTGGTATAGCAGTGGATATAACATAAAAATGACAACGGCGTGAGACTGATTACATACACGATACCCAGAAACGTGTATAAGCAAACGTTGGCTATGAGGGGTTACCTTCTCCAATACTTGAATGAAAGAGTTCATCTGCCTGTTTGGTGGTATTTTGAAATAAATGCATAATAATACTTGGTTTTGTGACCTAACTTATCTTTCCGTCTAATAGCGCCTATGCTATGAAATTCCATGTGTCCTCTTTCTAAAGTTTCTGAATATAGTATGTTTCCACATCGTGTCCGTACAACATGTATATCGTATGATTTTTGTTAAAAACGGAACGGAAATATACATATATATTCCCTATTAACTTGTTCCCTTAAGTTAAACTCTAGAGTTTTGCCTATGTAGCACTTGCAGAGTAGAAGACAATTTTTGGATCTTCCTGAATCGGCTACTCAAAAGGTTTGGGGTTCTTATTCGCACATGGCATTAAGTAAACAAATCAACGAACAGTGTCAACCATGTCGACGACATAGGTATCCAATTTAATTAATTTTTTGATTGCCTACGTACCTTATAATGCTAAATTGCATTTCCACAAGAAAAATGTTCTAGGTTTATGCCAAACCAATAACCTTATCAATTTTTCTGTTACATGAGGTATGCTTTCACTGATTATGAGGGTTTGTAGTAAAATCTAATATGGTCTCTACTCGATTTTACCTTTCCCAAACATTTCTCATTAACTTAAAACAAATTAGTCCGTATACTGTGTTCTAGATATAAACGGAACGGTGATATGAAGCGTTAGGCCAAAGTCTGCCAGTCATAGCGAGATAACCGCGTATTATTTGCTAAGCTGCCAACACACAGCCGTTAAAATACCCAAGGGTTCAATTACGCATTCATTTGGCAGCACATGTACTGGTGAAAAGCCCGGAAATTTGTTTGGCCTATATTTTTCCGCTGGCTGACATAACTGAATTAGCTAACAGGATAGAAAACAGAAACGCTGAGGTGGCAGGCAATTGATTGGTCGAACATCTCGCAGCTGGGTTACGTATAAGTGCCTAGTGTGTCTGGAATTTTTTTTCATTTACTTTTCGACAAAAATAATATTATTATTCAGATGGATCGGGAAAAGTGAGCAATTTGTAAGCATTGATAACAGACGCTTTTGGGATCCAAAAGTTTAAAATACAGACGTGTGCGCCATGATAAAAATGTGAGTCTGTATATGCCCCCACTACGTCCCCTAGCGGTTGGCTCCACAGCTCACAGCCTACATGGACTTTAAGAAAAAAAATTCTAAGAAATTTTAAAGAAATGTCAAAATTTTCCTCATAATTAAATTCCAGCTTCTTTTGAAAGAGTGAGGCCTATTAATATCAAATACCTCAGACCTAAATGCCGGTCATGGCGAAGGAATTATACGTGTATGTGGGATAGCTTGGATGAACTATGGGCCCTGATTTGCAAATCACAATCAGCCACCTGAACTCATATGCATGAATTGCGCAGTAGAAATGTGCCTACACGATGCTGGTTATTGAAGCCTCTTTTAAAAGCACCCCAGTATAGCTCCGGGTACAGGCATTTGCTAATCCATTCGCCGTAGCCTTGCCACGTAGGTTCTATGTGAAAAAAAACCATTAGGGAAATTCAATCTCGCGGACACGGAAATTGTGCAGACGGTG